GCCGCCATTGTAGCTCCCGGGCGGCTGGGGCCCCTGAAAGAGCCGCGTGGACACCGGGCGTCCGCGCTCCTGGCTGGCTGGAACTCGAGAGGGAAGGCAAGGAACTAAAAACTGGGAAATTAGCCTGTGAATTCGTGTTTCGGGTGACGAGCCATAGAGGGACCCGGTTTTCCTCACTCCAGCGGGCTCGGGCTCAGAACACCCTGCGGGCAAGCCCCCGCCCAGGCGCGCCAGCCCGACCCAGAGAAGGAAGCAGCGATTCTGACTCCACCCCCAGAGCTCCGCAGGGGGCCTGGAATTGCCCAAGGGGGTTGCCTGGGAAGCTGTGTCTAAGGCAACTTCAGCGGGGCGCACGGACGGGGATTTGGAGATTGGGACTGGCCTGGGTTGAAGAGTGCAACCAACTTCGGCTGCGCCCCCGGCACGGGGAGTTTACACCCCCAAAACAGCGAGGAGCAGCTCTTGCTTCAAGAAGGGACTGGAGCACCGTCACTCTCCTCCCCACAACCGCCGAGGCAGAGCTCCCGCCTGAGGCATTGGATCACGCCACGCCCATCCCTGCCTGAGAGGTGCTCTCCTCCCTTTTTTTTTTTTTCTTCTTCTAATGAAGGAAGAAAATTTAGCAAAAAAAGAAAAATTGTGATGCCTAACGAGATGAATAAAAAAAACAAAAAATGTGTAATACTATGAAAGATTTTGAAAGCCTACATAGACACAATCCACAAAATAGAATAATTTGCATAGAATCTACACATGTTTTAAATGTATTCAGATATATCAGGAGCACCTAGGTGGCTCAGTTGGTTTGAGCATCCGATTTCAGCTCAGGTCATGATCTCATGGTTTGTGAGTTCAAGCCCCGCATTGGGCTTTCTGCTGTCAGCTCAGAGCCCGCTTCAGATCCTCTGTCACCATCTCTGCCCCTCTTGCAAGTGCATGCTCTCTTTCTCTCTCAAAAATGAGTAAGCATTAAAAAAAAATGTATCTAAATATTTTGCATTTCTCAGCCAAGTAATTTTATTGTTTTTCATGTTTCATTATGTCCTTTTTTAACATTTTTTAAAATGTTTTATTTTATTTTATTTATTTTTTTTTTTGAGAGAGACAGTGTGAGCAGAGGAGGGTCAGAGAGAGAGGGAGACACAGAATCTGAAGACGGGCTCCAGGCTCTGAGCTGTCAGCACAGAGCCCGACTCAGGGCTCAAACCCACGAACCGAGAGATCATGACCTGAACTGAAGTCAGACACTTAACCGACTGAGCCACCCAGGCATCCCTCATTATGTCCTTTTTACTGAATGTCCCTGTTTTATTTTTCTGGAGTTTATCTTTTATGGCAACACTGCCTTGTGACCAGTCAGTGATGTGGCAAAAATGCTTGCCACGTAAATGCCTGCAGCAAAAACACTTGCGGTAAGAATGCCCGACATGCCATTGGACACGGCACTCGGGAAGTTCTCTGTAGGGGCAGGACCTGCATGGGGCCGCCAATGACACAAACTCTGAGAAGCAGTGCTTTGAGCAGAGAGGGGTTTAGTTTTCAGAGCCCCGGGCTCCTCTGGGCTGCCACTCCTGGATCTTTTGCCTGTACTTTCCAGCTCAGGGTTGCCTGACAGTTGCTGCACATCTAGAGGTCTTGTCCAAGTTTGGGGGGTGGGCAGGAGGAAGAGGGCAGGGGCGCCTCCATCAGCAAATCACCTGCTTCCCCATAAACCCCACACATGGCATGAACTTCACGTGGCCATACCTGGTGGCCAGGGGCTCTGGGGCAGCGAGCGTGCTAATCAAACAGAACTGGGATTCTGTCAGTGAGGAGGAAAGGGGAGATGATCCCAGGCAGGTGAGCGCCATGCCTGCCAACACCTCCCGGTGCATGTGTCCCGGCTGTTCAGCAGATAATTATCAAGCCCCTATTGATGCCAAGTGTATTACCTTTCTATTGCTCCTAGAACAAATTTGGCAGCTTAAAACGACATAGATTTATTATCTTACAGTTTCTGTGGCTCAGAAGTCCAGTACCAAGTGACTGGGTCTTCTGCTTAGGGTCTTCTACAACAAAAATCAATGTGTCCCTGGGTCAACTAGGGAAGAACCCACTTCTCCAAGTCCATTCAGGTTGTTAGTAGAATTCAGTTCCTTGTGGTTGTAAGCCTCAGGCTCCTGGCCCCCTTCATCTTCAGAGCCAGTAATGGCACATCAAATCCTTCTCCTGCTTTTGAGTCTGGCTTCCCCTTCTGCTGCATCTCACCACGTTTAGCTGGAGAAAGTTCTCTGCTTCTAAGGGCTCATGTGATTACATGGGGCTCACCCAGATAACTCATGATGACTCCCCTATTTTCATGTCTGCAATTCTAATTACATCTGCATGGTGCCTTTTGCTGTGTAACATGATATATTCACAGATCCCAGGGATTAGAGCATGGACATCTTTGGAGGCCCTCTGCCTACCTCTAGGTAATAACGGGTCAAGGAGGTGGGCATACAGTGATGGTCAGGAAGAGACAGTCCAGTCCCCTCTTTCATGGAGCTTACCACTTAGCAAGGAAACATTAACTTACAAATAGAAACAGTTATGGCCTCAAAGGAAGAAAAGGTACTGGGTACATCACAGAACCACATTAAGGCCTGGGGTTCTGGGGCTTTCCCAAGGAACTGAGGTAGTTGAGAGAAAGTGCATGCAAACCACATTTCAGGGCCAATGCCAGAGCCAAGAGCCAGGAGCATGGTACCTAAGCACAGTGCACAGACTCAGGGAACAAGGGAGCGGGGTGCAAAACGTGGGGTGGGGACCAGGTCACCAGGGCATTATGACAGTACTACCTCTAGTATCAGTAAGGAGTAGGGACCATCACCAGTATTTAGGCTACTTGGTCCTCAGAATGCTCCTCTGTAAGGTGGACACTAGTATCCTCAAATTACAGGTGGGGGAAAAGCTGAATCTTAGAGAGGTAGTTAGTCAAGTGTCCAAGCTAGTAAGGGGTGGGCCTGTGAAAGATACCACCTCCCCAAATGCCCTTCTAGAAAGATGGCACTGACTGCTACTGGAGGGGTAAGAGTAATTGGCCAGTAGGCTGTCCTGATGAGGAAGGAGTGCCCTATGCTACAATAAACCTAAAAATCGCAGTGGCTCACCTACAGGGGCATTGCCGGTGTTTGCTGGCGTGGGTCTATCTTGTCACATGCTTCCACCATCTCAGAGAACCAGGTGCAGCTGCAGGCTCTTGAATCTTCTGCCTGGAGTCACTTATGTCTTCTGTTCGCATTTCACTGGGCAAGGCAAGTCATATGGCCAGATCTGCTGCCAGGGGGCAGGGGAATAGACTCCTCCCCCAAGAAGAGCAATCCACCATGGCGTTATCACAGGGTCCATGGTGGGCCAAAGGTGAAGCTGGCTAACTTAAACTAAGGTGGTGGTGGTGATGGGTTGGACGGAGAGAGGGGAGGATAAGGGCGAGAGTGGAGGGAAGTACATTTCACTGGCAGGCCAACAGGTGTGGGAGGAATAGTCATGCACTTGGATTCGGACACAGGAAGCAGAAAGTGCTGAATTGGCTGCTGAGCTCTGAAGGCGGGGGGGGGTGGGGGGAGGGGGTGCTTTTGACTTGGTGTGGAGTGCATCAGGTCATCAGTGGTAAGGAGGCCTGGGCACAGGGTGTGAGACTTAGGAAGCAGCCGGGGGCCTAGGTGGAAGGACAAACACTTGCAGGCTATTTGCACAACTGGGCCATAGGACCTATTTGAGTGGATACTGGCTGGTCCCACAGCCACAAGTGTCCTTGCTGTAGCACATGGACATCATTAAGGCCAATGCGTACTGTGCCACCTTAACTGGCTAGCACCTGCCCGATGCCAAGGACAAGACCTTCCTGGAGAGCTCTGAGGACTTGGTCAAACACAGTGTGCCCCTTAGAGCACCTGAGAGATCCGTTTGCCAGGACAGCACCAGGCGGGCTCCTCAGAGTGGAAGTGGGGTGGCCACTTAGCCATAAGCCCTTCTTCCCAGGGATGGCAAGGCCTGCAGGCCTGGCCGGGGCCCCAGTCGAGCCACTGCCTTGTCCTCTTCCTGCTGTGTTATGGCCGTCTTCATTCACCCATTCATGCATTCAGCCAGTATTCAGTTTGTGTCTCTTATATGCTTGCTCCCCACGAGATGTCCCGAGCTTACCGTTAGTGGACGGGATGGAAAGAATTCACCAAGAGTCTCAGGGAGGGCATCCCTAGAGGACCTAACTATGGGGGGACTTCCCTGAGGAGCTAAAGTTCCCAGACCTGCAGAGAAGTTGCCCAGGGGAGCAGGGGCTTGGGAGTGGGTTCTGAGAGCTGTTGACTGCCTTTGGCCTATGGAGCCCTGCCTGAGCCTCATCTCTTATTCCCTGCCCCTCCCCTTGGCATCTCCCACGTCCTCACTCACGGTAAAGAGCAAGAGTGCAGGGAAGGCACCTGGATGGTGACTAACTCTACTCTGGCTACCCCTTTCTACCTGCAGCAATGCCTGCCTCTCCCCATCACACACACACACCCCCAGGATCATAGCCTTGGGGAATATGTGGCTCTGGGGACTCAGGGCACACAAAGGTTCGGTGCATGTTGTGGATGAGGTGTGACTTCATCTACTTTGCGGGCTAGGAGCTCCTGGGGGGTGGCAAGGGGCCATGTGCTCAGTTAACCTCTGCATCCCCAACTTCTGGCACACACACGTCGCTAAATAAACATCAGTGACTAAGTTAAAGGACTAACGAAGAAACGAAGGATTGGCAGATTTTTGGCCGCCACGTGAAGAACTGCTTTGCGAGTGTGCGTGGGGCCAGGAAGCCAACGTTCAAAGTTCAGGCAAGAAGGCCGGATCTCAGCCACCCAGGACTTCACCAGTCAGGAGGAAGCAGTGGCCGCACAGGGGCGGGGCCTCTGCCTCCGATGACGTCACCAGTTGGGAGGGCCCCACGGCCGCACGGAGGCGGGGCGTCCGCCGGCGGTGGCGTCACAGGAGGCGGGGCCGCAGCCGCCCTATGGGGCGGCACCGGGCGGCGGTCACGTAGCTCAGGTTCCCGGGCTGCAGCGGTGCGCGTGTCTGTCGGTTCCTGTGCACAGGTGCCCGCCGTTCTTCCGCCAGCATGCCGATGTTCGTGGTGAACACCAACGTCCCCCGCGCTTCCGTGCCGGACGGGCTCCTTTCCGAGCTCACTCAGCAGTTGGCGCAGGCCACCGGCAAGCCGGCCCAGGTTCGCCGGGAGGGAACGGGGAGAGGGGGTGCCGAAGTGGCCCCGGGCTGCGGGACGGGGGAGGCGACTCCCCGAAGCCTGGGGCGGGGAAGGGATGGAATGGGTGGCCGCCCGGGCCCCGGCGAGGTCTTTCGGGCCAGCTGACCGCACCCCGTCTCCCCACAGTACATCGCGGTGCACGTGGTCCCTGACCAGCTCATGGCCTTCGGCGGCTCCAGCGAGCCGTGCGCGCTCTGCAGCCTGCACAGCATCGGCAAGATCGGCGGCGCGCAGAACCGCTCTTACAGCAAGCTGCTGTGTGGCCTGCTGTCTGAGCGCCTGCGCATCAGCCCAGATAGGTGCGTGGGGCGGTGGGGGGCGCCGAGGGGCAGTGGGGGTGGGGGGTGCCCGCCAAGGCCCGCGACGGCGCAGCCCTCTGAGCCTGGCTTCCACGCCCCGCAGGGTCTACATCAACTACTACGACATGAACGCGGCCAACGTGGGCTGGAACAGCTCCACCTTCGCTTGAGGGCCGCGCTGGCCCATCCTGCCTGCACCAGGCCCTGCCGCCCGCAGTATTGTGCCCGCTTCGCCCCCAGCGACCCCCACTTCCAGGTCGGGAGAAATAAACGGTTTGGAGGCTATTGCTGCTGTTTCGGGCTTCCTTGGCTTGCGGAGGAGTGGGTGCAGGGCCGGGACAGTGACTGGGAAACCGGTGGCGGGAGGGGTGCCCTCCCGGAACCTACTGTTGAGGTCCTTTTGCCTAGCTCTTCCTTCCTGTGCCCCTAGCAGAAGCCTCAGCCTTGATTGGCATCCTGCCCGGGGCCACAGATCCAGGAATGAGACTCCAGTCGGAGCCTCCCACTCTGCATTTGCGGCTTGGCCCTCCCAGGGCAGGTTCATGATTGTGCCCTTGGCGAGAACCCAGAGTTGAATCCATTCCATTCGCAGGGGCAGGGCCACCACGTGGGCTGGGGCTGGCTGGGCTCAGCTCAGGCTGGGGCTGGGCTGGGGCTGGGCCAGGGCCAGCGGGAGAAGGAAGGGGAGGTTGGAATCAAAATCTTACTTGCCTTAGAGGTTGGAGAGTCAGCTGGGTCTGAGCTTTTCTCGCAGCCCCACCTTCCTCCATCTTCCTGATGGGCAAAGGGTACCCTGGGAAAAGGAAGCCTTCCCCTCCCTGTACCCCAGGGTCAAACCCTGCTAGGCTGGTGCCCTAGTTTCTTGACCTGGAAAATCCCGTTCTGGAACTTTTGGACAGTTTTCAGGTGGGAGTGGGGAGGTGCACTAGAGGCATAGTTTTTGGTTATACTGTCCTGACGGCCCTCAAATCTGTGCCTGGCCTCTGCTCTCCTCAGGCACCCAGGTCTCCACCACAACAGTTCCCGGAGACGCTGGGCCTGTAGGGGTTTTTTTTTGTTTGTTTGTTTGTTTTAATGTTTATTTTTGAGAGGGAGAGAGGGAACATGCGCATGGCAGGGGCAGAGAGCAAGGGAGACACAGAATCCGAAGCAGGCTCCAGGCTCTGAGCTGTCAGCACAGAGCCCAACACGGGGCTCAAACTCACAAGCTGGGAGATCATGACCTGAGCTGAAGTCGGACACTTAACCAATGGAACCACCCAGGTGCCCTGTAGTTTTGAAGCCGTTCATATTTTATGGGACAGTGGCTCTGGAAAGCCTTCAGGTGTTTAAGTCCACCCTGCAGGGACATAGAAGGTCCTGGCCCTCAGGGCACTGTCAACAACAAAATCAGTATTAAGGCCCAGTGTGGCTGGAGTCTGACTGGTCCAAGGCCCCTCTGGTCAAGTGCAGGGGCTCCCTTGTGGGGGTGATGATAGGACTGGGCAATTTATGTGCCCACATTTGGGCCACAGGGGCCTCAGCTGCCATGTTGCTTGCCCAGAACAGGTGCCTTTGGGCTAGAATGCCTTTCTAGCCCACAGTGTGAGAGAGGCTCCATGCACCCCTGCGGCATCCCCACCTAAGTGAGACCCAGCCACTAGCACTCAGAATTCCTGTGCTTGGAGCTGGCCCTAGTCAGCCAGAGCCAGCACCTGTGTGTTGACTAAAGCCCTTCCCTTAGTGCCTGACCTGTGGGAGGAGTCAAGTTCATTTTACCTGCTTGCACAGGGAGGGGGCTCCTCTGGATGCCTGCTGGTCCTTGCTCTGGCTCAGCCTCTTTCTTGGCAAGATCATCTTAAAAAAAAAAAAAGATTTTTTTTTAACGTGGAATTTAAGTGAATTTGCTTTTGAAAGCTGAAGGGCTGTAAGGAAAAGCATTGCTGCCTGGACCAAGCCTTTGGAGTGAGTGAAGAACAGTCCTGCCTTTGAGCCGCAGGCAGTGACAAAGGCTGCCTTGTGTGTATACAGAAGGGAGGCCTGCGGTGGCCATGAGCTCTTTCCCTGAGATGGCTGCCAGTGGTCCAGTGCATGCAGTGCCCACTGCTCTTGCATGAGTCACCTCTGTCCTGTCACTGTGAACATCTGGCAGGCGGGGGCAAGAAGCTCCGGGTGCCCAGCCCAGGCTTGAAGCCGAGGATAAGTCTCATGTATCCTTGTATTGTGGCAAATCCAGAACAACCCAGGCCCCAAAGCTATGGGAGCCCAGTCAGCTGACACTTTCCACCTGGATCCGCACCCTCCCTTCCTCTGCCATCACAGCATTTTTGGCTGTTTGTCCTCTGGGGCAGCCCACCGTTGCTTGCCAACTTGATAATCAAGATAGCTGAGGACTGCTTTTCATTTCAGTCTAGGTCCTGGGGTAGAGGGGGTACTGTCCCCTTCAGGCCTAGGCAGCAAGGATTTACTTCTAGAAGAACAGGAGTGATAGTTGGGGTCTCATTTTGAAAGTGGAGGTAAAAAGCTCAAAGGGTGTTGGCCATCTTTGGGGGAGTGAGATGATCCTCTTCCACAAAAATCTCTCGAGGGTCTTGCTCCAGCTCCCTCGGTGGAAGGGCGTGGACCCCCACATCTGTGTCATGGTGCCAGGGCTCCAGCTAAAGCCAGAAGGTCTCATCCACATCGCTTATGAGTTGGGGCCTCCCTCAGGGATCTGAGCACCTGCTGCTCCCACCCCAGTCCTGGCCTTTGTCATAATGCCTCAGCTCCCATGTGGCCCCCATCCCTGTGTTCCCAACACCAGAATATCTCTCTCTGCTGGGTGTGCGCAGATCTGCTCTTAGGAGTCTGGCTCTCAGATCCCATGCCATACATGGTCAGGAGAGGGCAGGGCACAGGTTTGCACGAGCATCTAGCCCAACTCCTTCATTTCACAGATGAGGACACTGATGCCAGCTTCCTTGGGTGTGCCAGGGCTGGGCCGGCCACCTCCCAGGAGTCAGCCCCTCATTCACGCCCAGTTAGGTCTCACCTTGTGGCCCCACTGGACAAGGGGGGTCTCCCAAGGCCAAAGAGGCAGACAAGACAGGCTGGGCTCCTGCTGTGTTTGGGGAGGCTGGAGAGCCCCACAGTCAGCATGGCCTGCTCCCCACAAGAAGCCTGGGAGTGTCAGGCTCTGAGGCAAGCCAGGGCATCAAGGTGGTGACTCCTCGGAAAAGGGGGAGTGTCTGTGAGTCAGAGATCCACTTCCAAGTCCCCTTGGCCCCGTACGCCAAGGAGGACTGCTGCTGGATTTCACTCAAGCCACATCCTGTCCCCCACCCCAGTGGTGCCGTGGCCAGCCTCCTTTAGCTCAAAGCATAGGCTCCACTGCCCATGGAGCAGCCTGTCCCTTCCTCAAACCCTGGTGGCTTGCCCCAGGGCAGCCTTGGAAAAACCTGCAGAAACTCATTTCCAAATAATGCCTCCAGGTGGGGTATGGAACAGATGGGGGAGGGGACACAGACTGGCACCTGCTCTCCATAGTCACTCCAGTGCTACCAGGTCATCTGCGAATAAAGACCCGAGTGTCCTCACAGCTTGCGGGTGCTGTTCCTTCTGCATGGAATGCTTATCTCCCATCTGCCGGCCCCATGCTATGCCCTTCTGGGAAACCCTCCGCAAAACCGCTCAGTGCAAGACTATGCCAAGGCTTCTCTGCTTTGGCCCGGGCCTTGTGAGCTAGGGTTTCTCTTCCTGTATCCCCCAGCAACCTGTGGGCATCGAGAGATGGCTGCACCCAGCTCTGTGACCTTTAGGCCCATGGCTTCAGGAGCCTCTCAGCTGGTCTATTCTGGAGAGCCCAGTGGTGCAGGTTTTTCCTCAAGCCTTGGAGCGTCTCTGTGCACAGCCTCGGGCATGATTAATGTGGATCACATTGTCAACGGAGGGGAAGAGCTGAGCAGGTAGCCTATGCCTGTACTTTGGTCTTGATAAAAATTATGGAGCTCTTTCCCTGGGTAGGCAGAGATAGGGGGTGTGGGCAAGTGCCCGCCCAGAGCCTGGCGGTGCTGGCAGTGAACAAGGGAGGAGGGCTCGAAGCGGGGCACACGGCCTCTGCAGGAATACAACTGAAACATTTACTGTAGACCCCGGCCCACACCTCAGGGCCCACCAACCACGAGCTGGTGCATCAGGCCACAGCGCTACCCCACTGTTTAAAGCAGTAGATAGAAATAGTGTTAGGTTTTCTGGGGGAGGTTGGCTGAGCCCCCCCAGAGATGAAGAGGTTTCTGGGCCACTATCTTCCTTGACTCCTTGCCCCACTGGGCAACTAGGTGTTGGCTCCCAAATCTGTGTTTCTGTGAAGCATTCTTTTGCCAGCCCAGCTCCCCGTCTCGGGTTCCAGCCCTCCCACCTCCTAGTGAGAATTCCAGAACTAGGGTGAAGGGGGAGGTGAGGGGGGGCACAATGCAAACCCGCCAGCCACTGGCACAGATTTCTCCTCATTAAGTGAGCACACCTCTCTGCTGTGTTTGAAGCCCACGTAAAAGAGACAAAAGTTGTCAGGTTTTTGAAATTGGCTCTGCTCCCTCACTCCTGGAGCCTCAGTCCCCATCTAAGAACAGTGGGGTCTGGACTCCATATTCCCATAAGTCTAGCCCCGAAAATATCCAGACAGGGCTCCAAATCCCCAAGCTACAAGTGAGAGGTCTCATACCCTTGTCCCCCTATGACCGCATCCCCCTGTGATCTGGTTTCTTGTGTACCTGAATTGATTCTCATTTTAATCGGTGATATATTCACATGGCTCCAATTCAGAGCATTCCAAGGATCCCCAGAGAGAAGGCTCCCTCCCACCACCTCCCTCTACAGGATTACCCTCTCAAATCTCCCCAGAGATAATTTATGCATATACAAGCAACTATGCATAATATCCCTTCCAAGGGTAGCATATTCTATACAAGTTTGGCACTATGGTTTTTTTTTTCCACTTAAAAGGTTTTATTTTATTTAGTTATTTATTTATTTTCATTTAAAACTGAAGAATCTAGTATTCCCTTGTTAGGACCAGGCACGATCCCCTTCAACCAGTTCCTGTTCTGAACGTTTAGGCTGCTTCCAGCCTTCCATTCTTAGCTCTGCTATATTGAATTCCACACATATGTAAGTATTTCTGTCTGTAGGCTAGGTTCCTGGAAGTAGAATCATTTGGTCAAAGGCGATGCTCTTTTAATATGGTCTGACGTCCCGCGTAGAAGTGGAGAGTTGATGGCACTACCCAGCTGGGCAAGGGAGGCCCTCCCAATCCGAGTTTTGATTTTTGG